AAAAACAGATTCTAAATGTATTTAATAATATAGTAAGCATAAAAAACCTAAAATAAGAAACTTTTAAATAAACTAAAAATAAGAAAATCAACATAATAATAAAAACAAGTGAATTAAAAAGTCTAGTGACAATTTTAGCGTAATTTCCTTATGTTATCTAAAAATAGCTCTGGCGTATAATGATGGGGTGCGTTCAAGCTAGGAGAACGATCGGTTTGTAGGTGTTTATGTAATTTTAAAATTTGTGACCGAACGAAAGGATATTTTTGGAAACTTTCTTCGGCAATATTGTTCTAAATTATGGCAGGAATCGATTGGTAAATGTTTCACGTCGCTAAGTGGTCTGTTTGCCGAGATATAGGCCAAAAACTGCATTTTTTTGAGGTTTTTTGGCTTTTCCGTGAAATCCAGGAAGGAATTCCGGGAATGTTTTTGGCCCACTATCATCCTCGGAACTTGCTTAACAAATTTGCTTTCAAACTAGTCCTCGATATTGCTTCGTTGAGGAGGAGATACGACTTAAAGCTGCGAACACACATCCATCCATTCCCAGAAAAGACGAGTTAATAAACGCAATTCTCCAGAATGGAAATTGCGCAAAAAATAATAATAATTCTTATATGTGCTGTGTACAACATTTATAGAAAAGCAATCGGTTTTACAGATCGGCCTATTTGTTTTTCAAGCTAGTCATAAGTCTGGTTTAGAGTTCAATGAACATAATTTTTGTTAACATTGATGTGTGGGGGAGGGATGGTTACGATAGGACTTTGCAGCCGCCATGAGAAAGCCGCTAAGAGTAGTAGAAATAGGAAGTGGATATGCCATTGTTTCTTCCAGACTTTTTTCTCGTGGGGTGGGGTGGACTACATTTTTCGGGAGGGGAGTGGACACTGGTGAAAGTATATGTTTTCTATATAAATTATATTTCGTTCGGGGGAGGGGGAGCAGAGCTTGAAGAAACTCTGGGACATAAAAATAAAATTCTTTAAGAAAGCGTTTGACGCATACTTATATCAGATGTTTTGGTTAAATCTTTGAGCAACAACAACAACAACAAAATAAAGAACCAGTTGCCCCTCGCACAGTCCATAAAATAAACCCTAAATTGTGCTCTTAAAAAATGAAGCAGGACAATGGTATGGCTACTAAAATAACCTCTCAAGTTTTAAAATCCGGATGTATTTATAAAAAGAAAAATATTCTACATAGCCTAATTGATTCCCAAGTACACAAATTTAAATCACGATCACATTTACGTCTACCTTGTTTATTGCGTGTCACGAACTTCATTTTTGAATTGTCTGTAACGCATAAACAATGTATTCAGAGCTGGAATAAAACAACCCGGATGAAAAGCGAAGGAAGGTACAACACGAGACGATTGGTCGACGGTTGTCCCTATAAAACACCAAAATACCCACAACCTTCAGTCTGATGAAACGATCAAAAAGTCAACTATTGCTATAGTCGTCGCATCGAAGTATTTAAAGGACAGCGATTCAAGACTCGACTAGATTGGACATCTTTAAAAGGATAATTTGTAGCAGAAAAGGTTTGTTTTTCTTTCTTTTTTTTGTTTGCTTGCTTTCTCTATATTTAAAAAAAAATATAGTTATTTTATAGGGGACGTTTTCCCGAAGTGGCTTTCGAGCATTTGTCGCATTCGGGCAAGTGTCCATTCGGGAAATCGGCCTTCGGGCAAACGGCATTCTGGCAAGTGTCTTTCGTAAATTTGTCGTAGACCCATTTTATAGTTAATTCCAAGTTGTATAAGCACTGTCTATAAACTGTGTGGAGAGGAACCGGATGTGTGTGTGTGGAGGGGAGGGGGAGGCTGTTACATGGGCAACATCTGACCAATCCAATGTGCAATCATCCCATGGTCTGCTAATTATAAGATTTTATAGCTAACTCGGGGCAGCAGTTTCTTCTAGTTTATTTTTAGGCAAATATAATTCTAGACTAAATTGAGGCGAAATAAACTATGTACTCGTCTATAGTTAAGAGGTTTGGGACTGAATTTCAATGAAATCATTACTACAACATGATGTAAATCTATATATCTATCTATATATATATATAATTCTCTTCTGGAAGACGCTAGAAAACAAGCTGTAAACGCGCTCACTACCAACCCCATCCCTACATGGTCTGGTGAGCTCTAAATGTTAACAAACAGAGCCGAGTTTGGTGAGGACAATTAGGGGCAGATAATTTAGTTTGAAACGATTTTCAACGTGGGGGGGGGGGGGGGGGGTAACTAAATGGAGTTTACTTTAACGGAGGGGGGGGGGGAGGAGGAGGGGGGTATCGTCCTTAACGAGCTACTTATAGCGTTTTAAAGAAATATTTTCAGTGGCAGCGTTGGTAGTGTCGAATTCACAAATTATGAAAAACTGAAAAGTAGAAAACAAAACAACCAAATAGCAGCATATGATACGCCGCGGGTCGGCTCGAATATATAATTCTCTTCATGGAGAAAACACCACTCAACTTAGCCACCACCCTCATCCCCACTTGTGAGGTGAGCTGTGGTTCACCCCGAATGTTTACAATCGTAGAGCCGGGTTAGTGACGGCTATTAGGGGCAGATAATTTAGTACTAAACGATTTGTAACGAAGGGGAGGTAACAATTTCTGATTGATCGTTTCTTTGTCAGTAAACTGCTGCTTTTACTGGGCGGGAGGGGGGAAGGATGAGGGAGGGCGGGAGGGAGGGGGTAGAGTTTAATTCACAAATTATGTATTGCTGATAAGAAATAAATAAAATAACTAGATGGCGGCGTATAGGTACTACGTCGCGGATCAGCTCGTCTATATATATAAAGCAAAGTTGTCGTGTGCCCGATAGGGCACTTTCCGGCGCTGTTTCAAATTTGGCAGGATCCTTCCTTGGGGCGATAGAACACGAGGGTCTGTGCCGGTTGGACGAAAATTCCACGAACAGGGGGTCAAACTGACCTCGATTGACCGGCGCCTTATATGAGCTATATATCGAAAACAAATTCCCATATAGGAACCTCTTCATAACTCCTGAGGTCGTAGACCGACCCTAGGGGGTGGCAAAAAAAACATGATATGTTTCGGAAAACTCCGGAAGACCTTTAGAACTGACCGGTCCGAATTTTCCCTATATAAACATTGTTAATTTTCTGAAAAACGACGACTCTTTTTCAATACAGCGTTTTGGAAATTTGGCTCTGTACATCTGGCTCATTTTTTGCATAGAGCTGAGTAAATGAATCGGCCTTTTGGATAAACTATCGGTTAGCCTCTCCTCGCACCTTGAGGGCTAAAAAGTGACCACGAGTGAAATTTTCCTTATATGAGCTATATATAAAAATGCCGTACGATCCCCCTGATATTTTATGAGGCCGTAGACCGACCATGGAGGGTAACAAAAATATGATATTCCTTTCGAAAAAAAATATTATGGTCGATAGATTTGTCCAGAAGCCGTATTTTCTTCTATAAGCATAGCAACTGTTAAAACAAAATAAACAAAGACTACGTCATTCGGTAAAATAACAAGGGAGGTAACTTTTTAAAATAATTATTTTTCAAACACGTGTATACTATTTTAAACATAAACAGAAAATCAAGATGTATAGCATTCGTTTTAGTAAAAAATTAAATTTTAAATTAAGGTGTGTACTCTAATTAAATGTAAAATTAATTTTATATGTTAATGTATTTTAAATTATGGGTTATACTGTTCAGGAAACCTCTGTTGTTCTAATTAACTTTAGGATTATAAATTACGAACATTCCTTTTTTTTCTAAAATCGGACTATAAACAACAAACAACAACAAAAACGATTTCTCTAAAAATAAGCATTACTATTTAAAAGTAAGCGTTCCACATATCAGCCAATCACTAATTAATTATGCAATCAAATTCTCATATTTTATTGAAAACCTAAGCGAAGCTAGGCAGTATGCCTAGTATAAAAAAATAAATGTTTCGTGGAACGGGGGCCAAACAAATTTGTCCTGGACGGTGAACTTAGCAAGATACAATATGTGTATAATATATATATATATATATATATATATATATATATAGTTTGTTGTATGTATTTCCATAATTTCACAGATAAAACCATTCCCACAACAGCTTGTATGTGCCAGTCGGTTAATAAAACAAACCCAAGATGAAGACACACCCAGTGTTGCTTGTACTTACTGCCCTGTGTAGCCTTCAGACACAAGTTGATGGTTTGTAGGGATTCTTCTATTTAAAAAAAATCCAAGCCGATATTTAAATTAGTGCAACATTGAGACAGCGCACACGACTTCTCCAATATTAGATTAAGTTAGTTTTTTTATTCTTTGATATTGTCTTCAAAGTTGTAATCAAATTATAATCACTGCTCTTCCCTCCCCCCCCCCCCACCTCCTCCACCACCGACGAAATTGATTTTTTTAAAAAGTCAAATTTAAATAGAAAGTATGAACTTTAACGATTTTTCAAATTGCTGCTCTCTCTCTCTTTCTATCTCCCTTGCCCTCCTCACCTTCTCTGGACGTTTCAGTTGTCCCTATCTCAGATCGAAATATCAGAGAAGAAAACCGCATACAAAACTGTGTATCAGTACCACGTGATTAGCAACACCATTATCGAGTCTTCTTAAAGGCAAAACTAAAGAAACTATGTTTTCAATACATTACAATTAGAATGATAACACACATGTCTCGGCACACATTATGTCTTATCTACATTCAATGTCATTCTATCCCAGGCTGTGATAATGTGAAGATGGACATGATCTTTGTGGTCGACTCGTCTAGCAGTATCGGAGCATCGAACTACCAGCTGGGGATAGAGTTCATGAAAGACCTGCTTGCTGCGGCCGACATTGACAACGGCAATGTCAGGGTCGGAGTCGTCATCTTCAGTAGTGCAGATACAATCCAGTTTCACTTGGACAAGTACAAAACCAAAGCTGAACTGTTTCAAGCCATCTCCGCCATCCCTTATATCACAGGCTACACTAACACAGCTGATGGTCTTAGAACAATGAGGACGACAATGTTCAGTCCTGAGCACGGAGATCGTCCTAATGTCCCCAACATTGCAGTGGTCATCACAGATGGTCAGTCTAATAGAAACAGTGAAAGGACAATCCCAGAGGCTGATGCTGCCAAAGCCCAAGGCATTCAGATCTATGCTATTGGTGTTGGCGCAGGCATTACTGAAGAATTAAATAGAATCGCAAGCACGCCCGTTGATGATTTTAGATTCAAAGTTGAAAATTATTCTTTACTTAAAAGTCTGAGAGAAAAACTGTTTAGCGCCATATGTAAGTAGAATAAATTCCTAATACTTTGAATTAGTACATAACAATGTATATTGTCTGTAACGTCTCATTAGTACATTTAAATGTATATTGTAAACGAGTTATACACACTTGTTGCATTGAAAAGGAGAATGTTGGGGAGGGATACCCTCTTGAAAGGATTTCCAAAAGAATGGGCATCCAACTAAGAAACTAAGCACGAATAATTCAATATCCAACTACACTGACTGTATTTGCTTGTCATAGTACTAAGGGGTTGCATATAAACGACGTCACAACCAAAATATGTAAAACAAAAATTAGGGGGTGGTTACAGTTAAGCCTTCACCACTGTCCTTTTTAAAATATCAATGAATTACACAACAGTAAAGGTAATTAACTTACAGGTAGTTAAATAATGTTTTGACGTGCTATGATGTTTGACCAGGTTTGTACGTGACAGAAGCCCCAACACCTGCACCTACAACACCTAAACCAGTTGTGATCAGTAAGTGAATTGTCCCATCTCACACAGCTCATCTTTCAAAGTATAAAGTAGTTTAATATGCTAAATTTGAATGTTTCTTACTATTGTACTCAGATAGCCGTTTTTAAAAAAAAAAAGTAATTTGCTTATGTTTTGTACTTAAGCATACAGAGAAGTATAAGTGCTAAGCTTTGTTTAGAATTTAGACTAAAGACAAAAATTCATCGATAAATATAAGTAAACTGAAAATATTGGCAATTGTTGATGTATAAAATGTATGTTTTCAATCCACTTTGACTTCTCATCTCACCAGAACGTGTTCACACCAGGTTTGATCTAGTGTTTGTACTTGATGCCACTTCCAGTGTGTCCAAATCTAACTTTGATCTGATGAAAAAATTCATCAAAGATTTCATCTATGAAGACGATATTTACAATGAAAATGTTAGAATTGGTGTTGTCACAAGCAGTAACAGTCATATCCAGTTCCATCTTGACAAGCACATAACTAAGGATGACGTCATCAATGACACAGACGCCATAGCCTATCCACCAAATGACAACACCAACACAGCAGATGCCATTAGAACAATGAGGACAGAGATGTTCACTGAATCAAATGGGGATCGCTTAGAAGTTGATAACATCGCCATAGTACTGACAACTGGTGTTTCCAACAGTCAAAACATTCAGGCAGAATCTGATGCGGCTAGAACACAGGCCATTCATATCTTTGTTGTTGGCATTGGTCTAAGGGACACCACACAGTTGGATGTTATCGCCAATAAACCAGTTGACCAAAATAGATTTACTGTCAATGATTTTACAGATCTTGAGGACCTCAAGGAGAATGTTTTTTCTGCTGTTTGTAAGTTGCTAAGAGCTGTTTTCATTCATTGAATATAAGCTCTCTGTTTCCCTAAAGGTCTTTATTTGAAGTAGAGTTTGTATGTTTCTTTACCTCGGCGTATGAAGGGATGGTGTGGTCAGCACTATGTCCGGCCGCCTTTACTTTCCCCAACGTTAATCTGGTATTCATAAGCATTAGATGGACAGAGGGACGTCTTGCAGTCCGGACCGAGATCCAAACTCCAGACCTTCGGGCTAGTATGTAAACGCACTACCATTCGACCACGCCGTCCCATTAAAAAGTAAACTTACCTTTGGAGCCTGAGGTTCTATGGGCAGGGGAATTAGATTTCACCTGTTTCAGTGACCACGTCATATGAAGGGTTAGTCTCAGATTAATTCAAACATTTCCAATGTAAACAAAAACAAAAACCACTCTAGTTTGAAAGAAAAAAATATCTATATCAATAATTCTCTTCATGGAGACCATAGAAAACACAACGCAGCTTAGCCACCACCCTCATCCTCACCTCACGTATACAACGTCGCGGGTCAGCTCGTATATTTTATTACAACTCTGCGCATAATTGATATATTTGTTTCTCACAAGTAAAAACTGTCAATGAAAAACGAAGTGAAAGAAAAGATTGTCCACCAGAACCTGCTGCCGTGGTACTGGACGTCCGGACCAAACCATCTGGTGAGGGCTATTTCGTCTGCGCACTGTCAGAGCCTCTACCAGAAGGTGTGGACATCTTGTTTACACTGCACGTAGAGGGAGAAGTTGAACATCTCAACAAGAAGATTAATTCATCAGTAAAAGAGGGACTTATTCCATTTACTGACGTCAATCGAGCTTTGTATAACAAAAGGGTAAAAAGTTTGAAAACTGTTTATGATAAATAATAATAGCAACGTTAAAAATATATGTGAAAGAAAAGTATGTTTCAGAAAGACTTTTTCTACTGTTATTATATTTTCAGATTTACTGTTCGGCTGTGGTACAAAATGTGACAAGTGGATCAAAGAATTGTCACGAAGAAAGCAGCAATGTTATCACTCCATCCATCATAGTAAGTTGCAGCTGTAGAGAAATATAACTGTTCTTGCTTTAACGAAAAGTTTTTTACCATACAAAATACTTTGATTCGAAAATGGAAGGATATGTTTATAAAAAAAGTTTGGTAGTAATAACGCACGAAGTATTTCTTCTGCTCTTTACAAATCAATGTATTTTTTAATACAGTGTCCACAACAAACTACCTTAAGATTAGTTGAAGGTCAAGCTCCTGTAAATCTGGTTTTTAAATTGACTGCACCACCAGAACTTTACTGTACTGTTAGACCAGGAAGTCCGTGTGATGTGGAGGTCGTCATAGAGATTCTTCCAGGCAGTGATGAACTCAAGTAAGATTTACTGTAGGGTGTCATCCATTAATGATCTCACGCTTTTTTAGACCATTTTTAAGATGAGTTTTACCTCCCCCATCTCCCTTCCGTCACACAATGTCACAAAAAGCTAACCAAGTACATCAGCACTCAAAATTACAATTTTAAATTATATTTCAAATTATAACATGTTGACTGAGGTCAGTCAACATAGAGTATATTATTCAATTTATATTACAATTTACAAAAATAGTGTTGGAAAATAAACGTTAAAGTAATTAAAAATTCTAAGACAGATCAGTAATTATAGCGATATTTTTAAAAATTTAAATTAGAAGGGAGCTAACTCAGTATACGACGTTTTCCTGTTATTCCAGTTGTTCTAACACTGAAATCATACCCCAAGTTGTATTTGAAACTAAAAGCTGTGGCCAGAAATTTTCTCATCATAATTGGAAGGATGGAATCATCATTCCAGTGAAGGCAACAATAGACAGGATCATAGATGGGGACAGATATTTAACCATACAAAGCTACATTAAATTCAGTGGTGATGTAAGGCACTATCATAAACGTTTTATAAATTAAATTTTAAATGTTTGTAGAATGGGAAAGTTATGAATGCTACTTATGTTTTAATAACAACTAAAAGCTTTATACGTCAATGCATCAGTGGTTACAAAAATTCTAGCTTTAACTTACTCGCTTTTGAATGACTTAGAAGTAGATCTACATATATAAATTTATTGTTTCTCTCACCTTGTAGCTAATCCCCCAGGAGAGTTGTGCTGATATACAAGCCACTGTTGTTGATAAGGACAGAACTTATATCTGCTATTCTGTCAATGATCCACATATTTCAACTTTTGATAAAAAGTATTAAATTTCTGGACAGGTTTATTTAATATTACGAATACTATTCTATCAATTCTTAATTTAGGCTATGACACAATGCATACATATTACATAGCTATGTTAGTAGCCTAATTGTTTTTTTTTTATTTTAAATTAGATTCTGGCACTTAATAGTAAGATTTTATTAACAATATTGTGATAGTATTACATTATTATCCTACGTTAAAATTTAATTTTTGACTAACTCTACAATTTTCCCAGTTACTATGACAACCACCTATCAGGTGACTTCATCCTCTACAAACACAAGACACTTCCATATCAGGTGAAAGATGTTATAAAGGATATAAACTTGTATCCTATTTCAATATATACTTATATCTGATAAACATACAGAAAATAAATTAGCATTTTCTTAATTTAAGTGAATTAATTCAGGATTTGATATTTAGTTTCTTGAAAGCCTAGTAGTAATGTAAAAATTATCATTTCACAGCTGACATTTAGTACAAAAAGTGTGGCAATATTGAAAACTGCTTGCAGACTTGTAAACAGTTAAAAAATATTTAAAATTCTTTTACAATTAAAAAGATTAAATACACCAGTAAAAAATAAAAAAAAATAACACATTTTTGATTAAATTGATTAAGTTACAACAGTTAAATCTAAACTAACAGGTTCAGGTAAATTTCGGCCCATGTTCAGCATCACCAGTTGCCACCTGCAACTGTAAAACTGCGATACAGTCAGGGGATGATGTCATTGTATTTAAGTGAGTTTTTATTTTTTATTTTAACATAAATTAAGAATTGCCTATTCACTTTTTGCATTTCCTAAACAAATAGTGTGCTGTTTTCAATTTTAAACTCTCTTTTGTAAACTTATCATTATTGTAAGTTGTAAATAAAGTAAAACTATGGAAAACATGAAAAATAATTTTATTTATTTATAATGAAAAAATATAGTTTTATGCAAAAAAAAAGGGTTAATAGCTTGAATAATATATATATATATATATTGTTGATGTTTTTATAACATTGGATTTTAAATAAAGTTGAAGTTTTTATTTTAAAGTTTCCACTCAATTTTAAACCATATTCAATAAGATCTCTACATGAAAAACAAATGACTTTTTAAAAAAATAATTTGAATTTTAGTTCTTGTTATGCCAAACAAAACCGTCAACGGTTAGATGCTGCAGCTCTGGATGTCCAGATTATTCGCAATGGGGAGTTAACTCCTGGAACTAAGATAAAACAACTTGGTGGAGGTCAACAGTATGATGTAGGCTATTAATTATTTGAACAATTAAAATCATAATTAAATATTGTTATCTATAGACTATTATTTGAATTATCAAAAATTATGATTTAATTTCAGTATCTATAAACAGTAAAATTAATTAAGGCTATTGCTTGTAATGTTAAAATCGTGATTTAATTTCAGTAACTATAAACACATTATAATGAAATATTTTCAGGTGATTTACTAGAATAGCACATACTTAATTTATTATATTGTAGCAAATTTGTTTTCTGTGTCTAAAACTATGATTACATTTTGCATTAACCAATGAGCACATGTGTTTCAGGTTCTTCTACCAACAGGAACTGTTGTGTCTGTAATGCCAAGCATGTACACCTTCATGAACATCTTTATAACAGCATCACCATCTGACTTTAATGAGACAGAAGGTGATACACATTTTTTATCAAACCACATGATTCTGTGTGTCTTAAAGTCTTATATAACATGTCGTATTTTAATTATAAATATTTTTTGTACATTAAATATAAGTTTCATATTGAATTATGTTAAATTATAAAACTGGGCTGTGTTTTTATTATTTTGAAATTATGACTGAATAGTTTATCATAGTTACTGGAAACTAATTTTATCGTCACGAATAAAACGTAGATGTGATGTGAGATATTTTCTTGTTACAGTATTTTACTAGATGTATTGTTGTCACAGGTCTATGTGGTAATTTTAATGGTAGAACAGATGATGATATGGGCAATTTGGATGAAGACACATTTAACTCACATTGGAGGTTAGTGCCAATAAATGTTATTATTACTTTAAAGTAATGTCATTTTTTCCCAATCAAATTAATTATAAAATTTAGAGTAGATGAAATGTTATAAAAGATCTGATTTTAAAAAGGAATTAAAAGAAAAGATTAAATTGAATCATTTAGACATCGTGATTCATCGAAAACTTGTAACTGTGTCTTTAACAGAGCTAGTACAACCATCTACTCTGGTGTGCCAGCACACAAATATCCTGAACCAGCAACATACAGCAGCTGTACTCAAGGCTTTACACCCATCTCTAAACCTGGACTGGATGTTTCTAGATGCTCATCTGATAGTAAAAATAACTATTTTTTCTTGAGTGTTCTAAACAAATTTTAAAAGCAGTTAAGTAAACCTAGCATGGATGTTTCTAGATGTTTATCTGCTTGAAATTTTTTTTACATTTTTTCTTGAAATTACTTACAACTTACATTATAAACAGTACACAAAATGGCTGTCACAAAATTAAATCAAATTGTTGGGACTTAACAATTTTTATGATATTTTATTTCACTATTAGATAATGATATAACAAGTGCCCTTATGCTGCAATCCATATCAACAAACATCAGTAGTAACCCAGTACCCAGTCCTACACAAAAAATATCTAGGAAAAAAAGAGAATCTATTAACACTTCTGTTGGGGTGAGTTGTTTTTTTTTGTCTATCACATTTTCAAATCTTTTTAATAACACTTAATACAATTTTGAGGTTTCCAAGTCTCTGGCATTTTATGTAAAATAAATATTATAAACCAGTGCCTTATAATAAAATGGAAATCTATAGGGCCAATGTAGAATTGTTAATTTACAATTAATTGAATTTTGTTTTATGAACTGGTACTAATTTTTGGAATATGCTTGCAGTAGCTTAATGCCTCCCTTTGGGAATATATTTTTAATATGACCAATAATCCATACTTGTGAGCTTTTAAGCTAAATTGGTGAAATTTGTATAGCCCCTAATCATTAATATTTGTTATTGGTTAGCATAGAGAAATGTTTCTTTCCCAAACTAATAAAGCTATACATATATGGGTCCTTATACCATGACTAGTAGAAAAGAAGTTAGCTTGCATTTTATTAATAAACAATTGTTTTATAAATAAAAAGGAACAAGTCAAACTATTTCTGTATTGTTTTTAAAAAATGGGATCATATAAATGGAGAATATGTAAATGTAAACAATTTAAATGTAACAAATTTATGTTTATTATTATTATAGTGAAACAAAAGATTTTCTTAATCTTTAAAATAATTCTTTTAAAAGTAGTAATAATGTTTGTTAATAGATTTGAATACAGCAATATTTTAAGATGAAATTCAGTGTTTCATTCAAATTAAAATATATTATTTCCTTCTAAGACCACAAGTGCAGTTAACTACACATTTGAAGAAGCCGAGAGTAACTGTTCAGATTACTTGAAGAACAGTAGGACAGTCAAAGCCTTCACAAATCAACTTTCAGATGACAGAGTTTAGCAGAGTGTCACCAACTGTGCTTTTGATCTGGTGGTAAAAATAGCAATTTCGGTAATCTATCGTTTTGGGTACGTAAAATCGCCCGCGATTTGTAATGTGAAAAACAGGTGACTCCTTAAATTTTAATAATTATTTCACATTTTGAGGAGGATTTATGTTTTAAAAAATTCAAAAATGTTTCCTTGATTCATTTATGTACCTGTTTTTAAACAATTGAATTAAAACTTTTCCGTAATAAATGAAGACTAACGATGTTTCCAACAGATGCAATCATGCTCATTTACTATAGCAGCCATCTTGTCTAAGTTTTATTTTTATAAGCTTTTAGCGCCAGATTCAGGGGGAAGTCACTCTATTTTACAAATGGCTGCTGTTTATATAATTATATAGCAAATCTTGCTCTCAGACACTGCTGTTTAAAGTTAATTTCTGGCCTATATCGATATATTTAGCCATTGATTTAGGTTTATTATTCATTCATCTATAATATTTGACACAAAAGTATGACAATATACTTCTATTAAAGTTAAAGCCTTGACAATGAGGTAACGTTTTCGTACATAAATAACCGCGGGCGATTTTACGTACCCAAAACGATAGATTACCGCAATTTCTTTTTTTATGCTAATTTTTATAATTAATTTTAGTAATTTACTGTAAATGACAAATTTAAAAAAAAATGTTTTAGGAAAATTTGAAATACGTTTTTGAAAGAAATCGTTTATTCACAGCATATGACTGTTTAATTGGGCTGTGTCTCATGTTAGTTCTAGCAGTTTAAAAATGTAATAAATTAAGATTTCATCAACAACAGAGCACAGGACTATTTGATTGGGCTGTGTCACATGATAGTTCTAGCAGTTTAAAAATGTTATCAAATAATTTTTTTTATAAACAACAGAGCACAGGACTGTTTGATTGGGCTGTGTCACATGTAAGCAACCTGGCAGAGGAGTGTATCACACGAGCTGAACAAAACCAAAGTTCATGGACAGGTGAAGGTGACACACCTGGTGAACCTGTACTTCCTCAAGCCATTGTCACCCAGCTGTGTGTCAGGGACTGCTGGGACAACGGGCAATGTGTCAACTGTAATATGACTTAATTTTTTAAATTAAATTATGATTTGTATGCATATAGGTAAATAAAAAAAAAATCAAACATTCAAAATAGCTGTACTAAAGATAAGATTTCACTTAAATGTAGATTTTATTTTCTTGTAGTTAAATTACAGTATATTGTTTTTTTTTTAGCTTATTGCAGATGTAAGGACGGCTACTTTGGTGAAAGTTGCCAGTTTGGACCAAACACTGTGCCACTTATTTTTGGAGCAGAGAAAACTTGTAATATTCAAGAATCTTCTTGTGAAACAGTCAGGATAAATAGGGATTTTTTCACATCTTCTGATAATCTTGCTTGCCATATAAACTTTGCTGCGGTAAGAAAAACAAAATTAAAGCTACCCATTCAGTCCATTGGCAGATGTTGGTAGAGTTCATCTGTTTCTTTGACCTCATCATGTGGATAGTGTGGTCAGAGCTGGCGGGTAAACTCATAGATGTCCTACAGACTCACGCCTTAGAGAAATGAAGGAATATTTTAATATTTGTTTTGGGAAAACATGTCTCTGCTCAGTGCTACAGTACTGCAACTTTTTTCAGAACATGACAAATGCAAGTAAATGGATTTTTTTTCAACTACAGGTGGATGTACCAAGTTGGATGTACACTCCCTACACGACGCAGCGCCTACATCACCGTCACAAACGATGGCGTCCGTCAGAGTGAAAATGTTTACCTTCATGTTGTCCACAACTCCAGCTGTCAGACTTGTGTCATCAATGACAACAAAACTGATGTTGACTGTCACATGATTGTAAGTGAACAAAAAGCATAAACACTATATAAAATTCAGAATGCCCACAATGATATCCTATACTGTCGTTCTTTGGAATCTTTTTAAAATGCTATGTGTGGCTTTTATCTATGGCAATGAAGTTATTCTATCTGGCAAAATAATGTTCCCTCTATGGTCAGAGATTGAAAGCTTCTATAAAATATATTATATTCTATAAAATATTATAGGCATTTTGAATTTGCATTACGTCATCATTTCGCGTTCACATCCAAATATACTAATTAATTTATATTTGATTTCTGTTTATAAACATAACCGTATTTTTAATATTAACAAAATGTGTTATTATGCAAATTCCAAAACCTAGACAAATGTGTGTGTAATAGAAGGACAATGTTACTTACAACAGCAAGAAGACTCAGTGGATTCTTGCAACATCTGTAATCTTGATAGCAGCAACACTGTATGGACCAGGAAAACTGGTAACACTTTTGTTTAGTATCACAAACAGTGTTAGTATTATAAAATTATATCTTTAGAAGATTAAAAAAAAAGCGATTTCAATGTACATAAGAATACAGACATATATGTTTGAATAGTATTATATGTTTGCATTATTTTGGTTCGCATAATATGTATGTAAAAATTTAGCTAAACAATATAAAAAAGGAACATATTCATCTGTTTCTATCTTCTTGTAGATTCAGCATGCAAGGAAGGCTTGTCTAATGAAGCCATCATTGCCATCAGCGTGGGTTGTGCTGTTTTTGGGTTACTTCTCATCCTAGTCGTCATCATAGTTATCCTTAAGAAAAGGAGGTGAGGATTTAGGCAATTTTTAGAGTTCAATGTAAACATTACAATCAAACTGATATTATATAAAAACGTTTTCAAAATATTTTAGAATTTCTGCTAGATGTAATATCAATTGGTCCAGAATTGTAGTGAGATATCTATTAGAAGGTTTTTGAAGCTCATACTAAAAAATTTTCACAAAATAATATTTTTGAGCCGAAACGATTTCAGTCTTTATTTAGAAATTATTAGCTCAAGAGAATTGCAATGATTTATTTAATTTTTGAAAATATGTTTTTTTAAATTAGAAAAAATATAATATCAATTGGATTTGTTTTATATTCAACAGAACAGGGAAGTCAGCATAGAATGTTCACTATTGCTATTAAATCTGGGCTGTTTCTCTTTCTACTACAGTGAAATGAAATCAAGAAGCTTTTCAGCGATTATTTTAATTTTATTTATTGATTTTTAAAAATATTTTAATTTTGACCAGTTTTAAAAAAATAATATTGTTGTATGCAAGAATCATCGTAAATCTTTGTCCTTACAACGAAAATAAAATCAAAAAGAGTTTTTGTGAATTATTTTCATATTTTTATTAAGACGTATGCAATAAAAAGTAATAAATATCTATAATAATAGTTTTGCTGTCTGTCTATGTATCTATCTATCTATCTATCTATCTATCTATCTATCTATCTATCTATCTATCTATCTATCTATCTATCTATCTATCTATCTATCTATCTATCTATCTATCTATCTATCTATCTATCTATCTATCTATCTATCTATCTATCTATCTATCTATCTATCTATCTATCTATCTATCTATCTATCTATCTATCTGACAAGAACGCTATAGAGAAAACACAAGCAATTTAAAAACATGCATAGTTAAACGAAAGCGAAATATGACTTCATATAGTAGAAAATAATATCAAGCCGGAGAATGCACACAGTAAAATGACGTCATTAATTCTCTAGTAAACATTGAATAAAAAGGCAATTTTGTCTAATCTTAAAAGTGGTTTGCGTGAAGAGTTTCATTCATACAAATCTTCGGGTAGGGGCGAAGCCACATTCCCGCGTAAGAACGTCTGAGGCCGCCCCCCTCCCCAACTCAAAAGAAATTTCTTCATCGATACTCTGTAATAAAATTACCGCCTAATTAATGTGTCTAATCTAAAAAGTGGTTTTGTTGCAATTTCTTTAATGCAATTCTTCTGGTAGTGGCTAAGTGCGACACCAGTGTTTCTTTCAGACTTTTTCCTCCCCGGAGGGGGGAATTTTTTCTAATCTAAAAAGTGTGTAGCGTGCAGTTTTTTTTTTCAAGCATCTCTTCCGGTAGGGGCGAAGCCCGCCCAGATTCTTCCTTTAGTTTGTATGATCTACAAATGCGACCAGTGTTTCTTTCAGACTTTTTCCTCCCCGGAGAGGAGTGTGGGTACTTGAAATTTTCGGGGGCGGGGGTAGAATTTTCTGGGAGGGGGCGGACACTGGAAAAAGTATATAATTATATTTCGTTGAATGGGACATGTTTTGGAGTGTGTGTGTGGGGGGGGGGGTGTGGGGTGGGGAGGGAGGCGAAGCCCCCTCCTCCCAAGTAGAGTTGCCTGAAAGAAACTCTAAGTGCGACTTTTGTCATGAATGAGAATAGGTGCATGGTTTAGGGATATGCCTATGACTACATTTTGTATAAATTAAAGTACCGAGAAAATAGACAGCACTATCAACCTAGCGCCCGTTGTATTCTTCCTCAACGGGCCATTTTTCTCGTTAATACTAATAGTTTCGCTGTCTGTGTATCTATCTATCTATCTATCTGACAAGAACGCTCTAGAGAAAACACAAGCAAATTAAAAACATGCATAGTAATTAGAAAAACGAAATATGACGTCGTATTGAGCATAGAGTAGAAAATAATATCAAGCCGGAGAGTGCACACAGTAATATGACGTCATTGATTCTCGAGTAAACATTGAATAAAAAGGAAATTTTTTCTAATCTAAGTGGTTTGCGTGAAGAGTTTCTTTCATACACCTCTTCGGGTAGGGGCGAAGCCCCCACCCTCGAGAAAGAACGTCTAAGCCGCCCCCCCCCCCAACTAAAAAGAAATGTCGTCGTCGATACTCTATAATAAAATTACAGCCTAATTCATATGTTTAATCTAAAAAGTGGTTTTCTTGCAATTTCTTTAATGCAATTCTTCGGGTAGTGGCTAAGCGCGACACCAGTGTTTCTTTCAGACTTTTTCCTCCCCGGAGAGGGGTGTGGGTACTTGAAATTTTCGGGGGCGGGGGTAGAATTATCTGGGAGGGGGCGGACACTGGAAAAAGTATATAATTATATTTCGTTGAATGGGACGGTAGACATGTTTTGGAGTGTGTGTGTGTGTGGGGGGGGGGGGGGGTGAGGGGGGCGAAGCCCCCTCATCCCAAGTAGAGTTGCCTGAAAGAAACTCTAAATGCGACTTTTGTCATGAATGAGATTAGGTGCATGGTTTATTGATGTGCCTATGACTATATTTTGTATAAATTAAAGTACGGAGAAAATAGACAGCACTATCAACCTAGCGCCCATTGTATCCTTCCTCAACGGGCCATTTTTCTCGTAATATAATAATAATTTTTAAATTGATATTGACAAGTTAAAAATGAAAATGAAAACAAAAATCTTTTTTTTTTTACAATTTAAAAAAAAATTAATTTACTGATTTTATTTGGTAAAATGTTTTCATGCCTTTAAAAAGACTATCCTTATATGCTGATTCATAATAAATATAATCAAATAATAATTTTAATAATATATGTGTCTTCTTTTCTTCTTCTTCGTTCTTAATTATTAGTGTTGAAGGGGATCGAGATTTATCTGCCAGTGTGTTTAAACTCGTGACTTTGTTCGAATTTATCAACCATGAGCTTTTAGCCGACTCGACCACGCCTCCATCATAATTTAGCGTTACGTGTCAACTGGTTCAGTGTTTCTTCCAGACTTTTTTCTCCGGGGGGGACACTTGAAATCTTCGGGGGGGGGGGGGTGCGGTAAACTTTCTTCGGGGGGGGGGGGGTGGACACTGTTAAAAGTATATATTTTCTATATAAATTATATAAATTCCATTTCGTTCGGGGGGGGGGGGGGGCGGTAAAAAAATTTCGGGGGGTGGGATGGAAGGGGGGGGATGAAGCCCCCCCCCAAAGAGATGCCTGAAAGAAACTCTGAACTATGCGCCATTGAGGCCATTAACTCCGATTTCAGCCTGCTTTTCTTTTTGGATTTGCTTCCATAGCCTTTGTCCAACCAAGAACAAACTACAAGGCAGCAGTTGTTTAATTTTGGAGTTGTCTCTCCTAGAGGAGTGGCTGTCCCCAGCTAACGAGCCTCATCTGCCCGAGGGTTCGAACTCGAGACTTTTCGGTTTAGCAACCATGGGCTTTACCGACTCCACCACGCCGACCACTATATATGTGTCTAAATAGCCTCAACTTTTTTATTTGACACTTCAACTTTTAAATAATTACTTGCCCCAAGACAAATTTGCTAAATTATTTAAAATTATGCTTACGCTGAAATCATTTTCTTTTTAGTTATTCTCATCTTTTATTATACCAGTTTTGTTTGTTAACATTAGAGTACCAGGGTACGTACTATTTTGTGCTCTATGCTTAAGGTTTATTTGATACGTAAATGTAGATTGATGTCTAACAAATTCTATATTTACACTGTATTGTAGAGCAATGTGTGAACTGGTAGGTGTGGATGGGGGTGGAGGAGAGGCCAAAGAGAGGGAGTTTACAATTTTTAAATTTGGTGTATTCTTAAAAGTAGGCTATTTGTAATATTATATCATTGATCGATGTACTTGTGTTGACACAGCTCGTGTAATAGGTCTACTTGATATAAAATTACAGCTTTGCCGGTATACTGATTTAACTGCTTTTTATTTTTGATTATGTAGCTGTAAAAAAAAACCATTAAGAAAAGACGACGGCTATAACCACTTTTCAACTTTTTCCTCGCTGGTAAGAGGGGGGGGGGGGGGGGGGGGGGGCTACGCTTTCCTCAAAAAAAAAGGTTTTCTAAAATGCCAGTGCAGGGCCTGGTCGGAACGGTTAATAGATTAAATTGAAAAGACTCTAACTAGTGTTAGCGACCGCACCTCCCTCCCACAAGAGGAAGTTGCAAGTTATCCTTCCCACACGGAGAAAAATGCCTGAAAGAAACACAGTCTATCATGTTAATGCTATTAAGTGATAGCATGCCCTGACATGAAGGTAATGTAACAATGATCTTGAACCTACAAAAGATACAGTGACCGTCCGTCCCCCCCCCCCCCCCTCCTCAGAGTTTTATCATCAGACTTCCCTCTACTCTCTGTACTATGTAGCCCAAGGAATACGCAATAGTGAATTACAGCAATGAACTACTTACCCTTCAATATAAAGCATCACATTTTGTATGACACTATTTAACAAAAGAATTGTGAAAATATAAGTTGCTTTTTATGTGGATTTCTTTTTTTTTCCTTATTTCCGCGACAAGCACCATGGTCCACATTGGCTTGGGTGTAAACATTTTTATAGAAAATCTTTCAATACGGTTTCAATATTTAGAAAAGGAGTGCCAATCTTGAATTTTAATTTTCTAGAGATATTTTACTGAGAGTGACGGGAAGGTGGATGAGGGGGGGGGGGGAGGGGTCAGGGGATTCCAGTCTGTTTCCCTCGCGATGCGTTCCTCGCAGTAAAAATGCAATAACGTCCCCTGCCCTAGTGAGAGGTTTATAAAAAGAACAGCATGGTTTGTCAAATTAAACAAAATGTAAGACCCATGTCATACCAGTATGCATGCAGTGGATATCATGCTCATCGTCCAAGAAAAACTTCAAAATTTAGAGATGTAGGTATAGTCCTTTTTGGGATAATAGAAGCTATTGTAAAATATCGAACAATATGAAATTTATTGAACAAGTTTATTGTTTATACAGTTTATTGAACAAGTTTATTGTTTATACAGTTTATTGAACAAGTTCAATAAACTGTAAAGATTGTATAATAGTGTTACAAAAAAAGTTTCCAAAACACGTTACATTTTGTCAAGTGTACTAAAAAATGGTGTCGTTCTGTACAGAACATCATTCAATAACACATGTTACCATAGACAAATAATCTCAGACCAAACCAACAATAACACCTAGATCTACGAGTCCTGCTAGAGGTGAATTGTATATACAAACCCTAAACATTTGTGAAAACTCACATATAATTTCCTTTACTTTTAGCAGCTTTAATTTTATGTATATGTTTTTTTCCGACTGATGCACCTATTTGTAAAATTATATTTTTTGAAACCACATCTACTTATGCCATATTAATTTATATTTTCTTTGGGAGATTGAAAAAAAATGTTTTTGGCATTTTTAGGAAAATT